GGCAGAACCAGGCTCAACGTGGCGGTCTTCTGCCGGACCGTTTAAAGTGACAGGGAACTCCATGAAAGTCTGGAGGGAATACACACTGGAGGTGAGGTTGAAGGAGAATCGAGGAGGAGTCGGATGAGCCTACTACAATGGTGGAGAAGGGGATGGAGGTGGGTTGTCTGAATCAAAGTCCGACATAGGAGCGATGGATCTTGCGCTTGTTGAAGGGCAGGCCTAGAGTTGATTTGGAGTGGCTTTAAGTAGAGTGCTGGAAGATGATTGGGCATCGAGGAAATTTAGCTTGAAGCGGATTGGCTGCATCGGAGGCGGATCAGCCTCAGATTGAATGGAAGTAATCAGAGTTTCTTCAGTTGAATTTCCGCCTTAGCTTCATTATAGAAAATAATTGCATATCACTGTTTAAGCTATAAAGAAATCCAAACCATACTGGTTAAATGAGCATTCTAACTGTATTATTTCTTACTTTTCTTATTTCATAATTATACTACATTTTTCCGTGTGGAACAAGCATTTTATGACAAAATTATTGTAGTCAAGGAAAATTTTACTTCATTTTTTCTAATAAAACCTCACACACACCAGAAATTATATATGGACATGTAAAGTTTAGAAATTCATAGAATAGCTTCTCTTTAGTTTAGAAGTAATTAATCTGTCAATTACAACTTTACTAAGAAGCAAGGCTTGCCTAAAAATTGACTTCTTTTTGAGCATATTTTATTCATTTTCTTATTCCTCCCTTTCTCATATTTTCTTGGTGTTTTATGAAGTTTTTACATCTTTATATTCATTTTTTATACATACAATAAATTGGAGGAAATATGCATTATGGTGTTACCTACAATAACATTTATAAATACTAGGCTGCTTTTAATTAAAGCAAGTCTCATTATGTTGTTTCAAACAGTCTGAAACTGTGAGTTGAAGTAGTTTAGATTTGCATATTTGTTGGAGTATATCAAGGTAAATGCCTTTGAGAAACAGCTTTTGAAACCAGCAGTTGGATTGAAAACTGTAAGTGCAACCACATGGATCATTTTTACAGTATGTCAGAGAAACTAATTGGACCTGACAGTCCACAGGAGTGGCTCCTGTGAGATTTTAAAACACGATGAAAGGTTCTGTTTGCACTGGATCTTCAAATAAGAATGCTTTATCTAAGATTGATACTGCAGTAAAATAATCTAAATTCAAAATATGCACAGCTGTGGATTAAATGAGGATTTTCCACAATCTGATTTATTTTGTTTAAAGCTGATTTCACCATCATATAAGAATAATTACAAGACTTTCTTATTGGCTAATAAAGTTGAAATGTTGACTTGACATTTATGAAACTGCTATCTACACGAATGGGACTTCACCACATTGATTTCAATTGAGTATAAGAAAAAATAAACCTTTAGAGACTGATTTGAAAAGTTTAAAAGTGAAAAGTAATAAAATATGCTGCAGGAATGAGTCAATATAAGAAGTCGGAATGCAGGTCAATCCAACACATGTTGATGTACTAATTACATTGTACAACCCAGTTACAAAATCCTTCTTCTTCCTAACATAAACACAATTTTTCTGGTGTTTGAGAGGAAATAAAGTTAAAGGAATGAGCAGCTCTGGACAACCTGAAATGCTAGTTTGTGGATAACATCCCCACTGATTGATTTTTCAGGGTTGTTGTTTTACACTGCAAAAAAAAGTGATTTTCCCCTAAAAATAAGTGCATTTTCTATTGAATTTAGGAGGGAAGTGAGACACTTTGTCAATAGAACAAGACAATTTCCATTTAAAATAAGAAAAAACAACCTTTTTTTCTTATTTCAAGTTTATATTATCTAATTATCTTATTTTAAGAGTAAAAATACTAATTCCATGTCAGGATTTGGTTTTAAAGTTTTTGTTTGGACTCAAAAGCAGAAGCTGAGAGGCAGAGGTGAGTTCTTAAAAGGTTTAATGGAGATCAGGCAACAAAAACAGGTATCCAAAAATCCAACTTAAAAATGTTAAACGAAAACAGGAATCCAAAAATCCGACATAAAAACCAAACACAAACCAGAACCATGGAGACATCAGGGGAAAACCATCAAGGAGCCAGGGTGAGAAAAGGTAAGACGAGGAACCAGCAAAGAGGGACTGCAGAGGGAGTGTATTTATGGCTGACTGAACAAAGGCAGGACTAATGAGC